CTATTTGTTTTTTTTTCCTCTTTTTTTGTTTTTGTTTTTTTTTTTTTCTGCAAAACTAATTCTTTCACTTTCCTGTCATAAAATCACCTCTGAAAACACACTTCTTTACAAAAAAAGTCACGAATGACACGGACTCTCAGGAAAACACATTTCTATGGTCTCTGGAAACACCTGTATCTGGCACCCAGGTGGCTCGCTCACCTGGGGTGGGGGTTGGGGGACACCTCCTCTGAGGCCAGAGGAGAAATGCCAGCCCTTATTTGGGGGAAAAGCCATTGGCACTTGGACGGCCACAGAGCCAACACAAAGGGCACAGTGGGGAGGGGCCCAGGAGTGCCAGCCCCCCTCAAACCCTGTGAGGGCCCCTTTCAACATCCTGGGGCAAGGAAGGCAGGGACCGAAGGCCTCTATCCCGTCAGGTTTGCTCCTGCCTCCCTTTCACCAGGCTTCTTCTGAGCAGAGGGGCCCACAGGGCCTCACTCAGCACCTGTGCTGAGGGGGACCTGGCAGTGGCCTGGCGCTGGCCCAAAGGCTGCGGCCCCACTCCCAAACGAACCCCGGTGCTCCAAGGAACACGGGCCTCGGCCTCGTTGAGGCAGTCTCCCCTTCAGCCCAGCCACACTTCCAGTGCCCAGCCAGCCTCACACGGGGGCTCTGGTCTCTGCCACCAGCATGGACCCCTCAGCTTCCTGGCAGCAAGGGAGAGAAGCTGCCCAGGGCCTCAAGTCTCCCACTGCTCTGAGCAGGCTGGGCTGTGAGCAGGCCTCAGTGGTCAGAAGCGAGAGAGGGGATGGGAAAGCTGAGGACCCTTCAGAACAGTTTCCGGCTGCCCCTTTCCTCTGCAGATACTGGGAAGAAAGGGAAGCTTGGAATTAACCCCCTCAGTTCCATGCCATGTCTGCAGGGAAGGCCCAACAGGGATATTGGGCTGATCAGCCCCAAGGAGAAGGGCGTGGGGGCCTGGGGCCCCAGAAGCCTGGTGGCTACTCCAGCAACACCTCTCCACCGGAGCAGGACCA